AGTTCAGCTCGTCGCCACCTGCTCCCTCCTCCTTTGATGGCGAAACCAGGTTACTGAGGCAATGCAGCTTCCTCTAGCAAACCTAGGGCCGTGTACATAGCNTCAGTGCCGACCCAACTACACCACCACGCGCATGCCTCGCGGCGGATATGCGCAGCAGCAAGAAGGTTTCGGTCATCCCTTGAGGGTGAGTCTAGCCCTGCTCGCCAGAAAGACCCCCCCCTTCACTACAACCCATGTCTAAGCAAAAGCTTGTCGAGGAGCGAGGGGAAGAAGGGAGAAGACGTATAGGATAAAGAGAACCGGCCACAGATTTATCGAATACTTTCCATAATTCGTTTTCTCGGAATGACTGCCAGACAGCACAGCCCGCGTACAATCAAACACGATTTACCCAGATTGTATCACAGCAGCCGTCTTCCACTGCTGTGCGTGCATTTTACATCTAGATACTATGTACTGGTACATAGTTCAATGGTTAAAATGCATCTTTCGGTCGATCTCCGTTTTTTTCCGAATGGCTGCGGGCCATGACATGAATGAGCATCAACAATACGTCTCGTTTATTTGCGAATGGCTGTGGTTCATGATAATACGGCGCTAGCGTATGACACGTCGTCTACGAGCTTCGCGGTCGAGCTTGGTATAGGAGAATCGCTTTGCGGCCATCGAGAGCAGGGTCAAGATGGCTACCAGGCGCGAAGATGAGGCCCGCCAAGCAGCTGAGGCCCGCCAAGCAGCGGAGGACACCAGGTAGGCCAGCAGCAAGGAGCGCGCCTAGAACCATCGACCACGCCCGCGGACGACATCCCCCTGACCATCGCGCGAGCCCCCGAGGGGCGGCTCAGCGCATTACAGCAGCGCCACTTCTGCTACTAGGGTCCCAGATCCGCTCAGGCACGTGATGAAATGATCATGTCCTCTGTCCGAAGACGACTATGGCCTTGTGTTGTGTTCCGAAAGATTTTTAGGCTTGTGTCTGAACCGTTTCCTGTGTTCGGAATTCTGCGAAATGTGTGATGTTGGGATGAAAGAGAGAGTACGGTTGTCACGAACGAGATAACTGAACGTGTGAGGGGTTATCAAGCCACCAACAGCACGTATGAGGGGATGTTATGCTTCCAAGAGTTTAGTTGCCAATCGTGCAACGAAAAGAGTATGAGGGGTTTTTATCCCACCAAAAGCAGTACGGTAACAAGAAAAAAGGTTGATGCGTAACTTTGTTGTGGGACTACCACGTCACCACCGACACAACAGCAAAGCGTGGACATCATTACGCATTTGCAGGACAGTCAGAATTCTTGACGCAAGCACGTCGGATTTCATGGCAAGTTTGTAGGATATGTTGGGTAGAATTTCGCTGGAGAGAACAGCAATATGCGTGGCAGGACCTCGGCGAAAAGCGAGACTTGACCCAAGACTGACGTT